CTTTTTATATTACTTACTGGCTTTGTGCAAGTTTGAATAGGACTATATATTCTTATTCATTATTATATCAATATCCTTTATTTTTTAGAGAATACTTATATAGTTTTTGATTGGTTTTGTTTTATTATGAAGTGGTTTCCTGAACTCACTATGATATAGCTAAGATTTTTTGATGTATTGGTGTGATTTGTTTAATGTTTGAGTTAAGGTCATATTTTAATTAAATTAAATGATTTTTTTTTATTTTTAATAAAGTAGTTTTATGAAGAATTTTATTGATAACATCTTCTCATGTTTGAAGGCCTAGATAATCATAATAAATTTCCAAATTGTCCCGATATTTTAAAATTGTATAAATATATTTTTTTTAAATATAGTTATACTTGATTGATTAATAGAATTATATGGATTCTGAGGACCAACAGTAATTCAATTATTTATTAGGGCTTGTTATTTTAAAAAAATTAAAGGAATTGTTTCTCAAAATGTGTTGATCTCAATAGTAAAGAAAACTAATAATTTTCCTCAAGTTCCAGTAGATTTTCTAGGAATGACATTCTTTTACAAGACATCATTTATTATATACACTTCTCTTGAGTTCTGGGAGTTGCCACATCAACACGATAGAAAATAGTTAATTGTCTCTTCTCCAGGTTTCTGTGAATACCTTTAAGGAGAAACCCGGTGAAGATTTGATTAACTACTTGCCACAATGCTGCTTTAGCAACTCTCTAACTAGACAGAGGTGTATTAAACATTTGGTGTTTTGTTCTAGAACATCGGTCTGAAGAAGGCTCCTGGAACGTGAGGACAAAAAATATTAGATAAATAAATTGACCCTCCTGCCATGGGAAGAATAACTGGTATGCTAACCCAGGTAAGAATCTTCAAAACTACATAAATTATTGTACTTAAATTACTATTAGGATTTATTCTGATGTTAAAGAAATCTTCTTCTCCCATATTTTTTATTCCACATTTCTTTGTAAAAAATGTCAGTAAAACAAAATTTTATTAACAAAGTACAGGCCTTAGTAGGCTCAGAATTTAAAACAATTATTTTCCTATAAAGCGTAATGTAATATTCGCCAACTGAGGTATTGTCAGGTTGTTGATTCATAATTCAAAAATCTTACGATTTTTTACAACCTTATTGACATTCAAAATTTTGACTAAAATCAGATTTTGGTATTATAGAGATTTCTTAGATGGAATTTTATTTGGGATTTTATTTATTTATTCTTGGCATTATGGTCCTGCAAAAACCTGGGCATTTCTTGTAATCTTCCACTCTCCTCTATCCCAGGCGACAAGCATTCGCCATCTCCGGATTTCCATTCTTTTCAGGATGTCCTCCATATCGTCCAGCCATCTCAGAGGTGGTCTTCCTATACCACGTCTTCCACTCGGTCAATCCTCCAGCAAGCGTTTAGGAATCGTGTCTCTGGGCATACGTGCCACATGGCCCAACCATCTGATCTGGTTTTCCCTAAAAATTGAGACAAATCCAGCCTTTGTTTGAAATTATATCATTTTAGTAAATATAATTGCCTAATTTTTTTTTGTTTACATACTTTTGTACTAAATCATTTAATGAATTTTATTTAATCACAATGTGTATACACACACGTGCATATATATGTATATATGTATATATACACGAACATGGAGGGGTTCACATTGGAATGAAACACAAATTCCTTACATATGAGGATGATATAGCTGTTCTAGGAAGTAATCAAGAGGATATTGAGAGACTCGCTCGGACTCTGTTAAAAGAAGCAGAGCAAATCAGACTACAAGTCAATGTGGATATAACAAAATACATGATAGTTAGCCAAAACATTCACCCTAATAACATGATCTGCGTGGACTCTTAAGTCATTCCCGAAAGTAGACAGATTCAAATACCTCGGCTCCACAATAACCTCAATAAATGATCAACTAACAGTGATAGACCAGCGAATAATAAGTGTGAACCAATCTTTTTTCTCTCTTTCAAGAGTACTAAAATCCAGAAATCTAAAAATAAGGGGGTACAACGCTGTGATTAAGCCAATTCTTCTGTACGGTTGTGAAACTGGGCTCTAACTGGCACACTAGAAGCCAGAATTGAGAGATTCGAAAGAAAAGTTCTACATAGGATAACGACCTATACGGGACCAGAACCTTAACACATGGAGGAGAAGGAACAATAAAGAACTGCTGAAAAAAACGGATCAGTCAATATCTCATGACATGAAGACAAGGAGGTTAAGATGGGCAGGGCATGTAGCTCGTAGCAATCCATCAGGACACCTTTACACAACAAATAGTTAATTTGGGTGCGAGACCAAAAATCAGATGGATAGATAGGGTAAACAAAGATACGGCTGAGCTTCATGCTGCAAACTGGAAAGCAGTGATCCAAGATAGGTAGAGATGGAGAAGGCTGGTTCAGGCGGCCTAACAACTACAAGGCCTGTAGAGCCAACCGAAAAAAAAAAAAACATATATGTATGTATGTATGTATATGTATATATACACAGGGTGTCCAGTAAGTAGAGGGTAATATTTAAAAGGATGATAGTAGACATCGAGATCTACAAAAAAAATTAAAATAAATATTAGGCCAATTTTCAGCAGAAAAGTAGGAAATCCAAGTTTTGTATTTTTTTTATTTGTCATGTTTTTTGTTGAATAAGAACTGATAACTAAAGAAATATTTAACTTTTGTAATTAACAATTGCTTCACTGAAAACTAGACAAAATTTACTTCATACAAAAATAGTGTTTGTCATAGTTACGACGAAGTTCTGTTCTTAAAAAATCATCAATTATTCACAATTTTTTTATCATCATCCAACTATGCTCCAGATTCCACACTTTTAGTAAAACTTTCTCATTTAATAAGTTTTAAGTCCATATTAATTAAGTTGAGGTTTTTATGGAAAAACTTGAGATTCACCTTAAGTTGTGTAAAAAAAAGTACATGTTTTCTTGTCATATTTAAAAAAAAACACATAAAATTATGTGATTTTCTATCATGTTACCTAAATGTACCCATGTTTTTCTCCCAGATATCTGTCATAGGAATTGATGTGTATTTATTAGTGACAGACTTAATGGTTTTAGTCCTAAAATTTACATGTAAAATAAAGAAACCTGCTGATTGCTTCAATTTTTTTCATGAAAATTTAAATTTTAAGACAAAAAACATTAAGTTGGTCACTTATAAATACAGATAAATTCCTATGACAGATATATGGTAGAAAAGCACAGTTACATAACCATTTACATGCAAAATTATTAAATTATTATTATTTTTAAAATTTTTATTTATAAAAAATATATTTAGGCAATAGTGTTTATTATAACACACCCCATATCATGGAAAAACAAGAAATTAAAGTTTTTCAAGAGTTAATTTTAGTTATTTTTGCTGAAAACACGGGTATTTGGCAGGATAGACAATCATATAATTTTTTTTTTTAAAGTTTACATTTTGTATGTGTACTTTTGAGGAGCTTGTTACCAAAAGTGGTCATCTCCACTTCTACCATAACTGATATTTTAATGTCTTGTAGTTTCCTCAAAACTGTACTTAATATAAGCTCCATTTCTATCAAAAATGTTTTTACTTTCTCAAAAACAAAAAGTTGTATGAAAGTGAAATTGCATATTTATGGTTTTTATATACCTAAGATGTTACTGCAACTTTTTAGTAAAAATCGGCTAACCGGAAGTGGCACTTCGTATAATCGATGAAACACATTTTTACTATTTTCTCGAAAACGGCTCCAACGATCTTGATTAAATTCATTATACCAGTGTAAAATTAAGGACTTTTTAATATTATGTAGGTTTTATTCTTATTGATGTTATTTAACAGGGCTTAAATGTCTAATTTTCATTATTAGCTTCCTCTAAAGTAACCTTTAATTTTTTTTATTTGGAACAATTGACTATTTCACATTGGTCTGTAATGTAAAAAATAATTAAATATAAAATATGCAAGAATTTGATAATTAACTAAAGGACAAATAAGAGATAGTAACTGAGAATAGTTGTAACAAAGAAACCAAAGGGATACTGAGCTTGTCTGAAGATTAGAACAGGCCTCCATAATAACATGGGCTTAATATAATACGGACTCCGACAATATTATGTACATATACATATGCGATTTTCTAATGTTTTCGTTGGTATTATTTAATATTTAATTGTATATGAGAAGGAGTTAATCGGGGGGTGCGGTCAAATAAATACTAAATTAAAATATATTAATTATTTTAATATAATAATAATAAAATGATTAATATATTTTAATTTGGTATTTATTTGACCGCACCCCCCGATTAACTCCTCATATTATATCAACGGTCAACCATCTCTACATCATTTAATTGTATAGATTACAGCGATATAAATATTAAAATTTGTATATATAAGGGTACTTACACTGGATATTTTTATATCCACAATGAAATATCAATCAATATAGCGTTTATAATTTTTACTTTCCCTTCCTCTTTCTCTGCAAATACTTATTTCTGCTAAGAAGAGGGTGGTATGTGAAAGTTGTGTGATGTGTGCGCCACACCAGATTTTTTCTTCATACTGTAGTGTTGTGAATGAAAAGATTTTCCCCCCTAAATCCAAATGGGGTACAAATTAGGTTTTGCTATCAGTTTGAAAACAAAATTGGACTTACAGATGTCCAATGTTGATAGCTAATCTCTGTTTTATTACTATTGATTTGTGTTCATACTATAGAATATATATCATTTCCTAAAAATATAATTTATAAATTAATATGATCCATGAAATATAATTTTAATCCTCTGATGTTTATTGTCTTATAATTTTTTCCTTTTGTCTCTATAGTAGGTAAAATTTGATTTCCCATAGGTGTCCACTATGAAGAAATTTTACTGTATGTGTATATGTGTTTCTGTGTGTGATTAATTGATTATCTACATTAAATGGAAATTAATGTAAATATGTTTTTGATTTTCCAGATCGGCAATAACAGTCAGGCTTTTATACCACAAGATTCAATCAGTGATCAAATCAATGAAGATTCTAAAGAGGAAATAGAAATTGTCTTGAAAACTGATGTAGATATTTCAGAGAACTGTGACCTTGGGGGAAGCAAATCAAGTAGTGAGCTTGTAGGGTCAAATTTAAATGTTTGTGAAGTGGTTCAGCAAAACATTGTAACTGAAGGTAATGAAATTAGAGAAAACAAATTGATCCATACCCCTGATTTAGTGATGGATTTACCTACACAACCAGATGAAAATGCAGTTATTCTTGAAAGTCCTGACATGACTGCAGCTGAAAGATTTGCTAAACAAAACCAATGCACCCTTAAAAAAAATACAAAACAGCCTAAACAAGTTAATGATTCTAAATGTAACATACCTCCAAAACCTCCTTTAAAAATTAAACCAGAGATTAGCTTAAAACCAGTTTGTCTGATGCATGTAAGTAAGGATGTAAAGCAGTGATGCTTTCACAAGGACCTCATGTTTCTTATTTATGGTATTAATGTGGTTGTAGTCTTAGTCACCTATTGGATCAGATTCTGTTTTATACTGGTGTTACTATAATCTATTCTAATTGTTTGTTGTTTTCCTCTTATTTCTTCTGTTGAACTCAAATTTTGTTTGCTCATCAATTTAGATTTTTGTAGTTGTTAGTTGGTATCTCTTTATTTTGTGTTTGTGTTGTGATCGTGTTAGTATATGTTTTGATATGCCAGTTCTTATGTTTTTATGTATATTTGTAATAAGGTATTTATTTTTTATTAATATCAGAATAGATCGAGTAGTTTTTTTTTTCACTAAAAGTAATAAATTATCAGTCCATTGAAATTTGTTTGGTTAAGTTGTCGTATTGTAACATTATTTAATTTTTTTTCATAAAACTAATTTAAATGATATTTTATAAATATTCTCAGTTTTTAGAATCTTAATGTTGTATGACTTATTTTTGTTGTAATTTAATCAATAACTTAATTCATGTAAATAAACTACGAAATCAACTGGATATCAATAAGTCAAAGTCCAATTAAAGTGACTGAACAATGTTTAATGTAAGTTCTTGAGTATAATATGTTAAGGTTGTGTCTGTTTAATGTTTGTAATTTGTAATATTAACTACAATATTTTTATAAGACCGTTGGTTTAATAAATTTCTTGTATATTTATAGTATTTAAGTATTTCTTTGACCAAGTTATTTTTTTATGTCATATTACTAGTGTTTTCTATGTATGAATTATGGTTACCAACTAAGCATTATTGGTTAATTATTGAATCCCTTTTAACCAGAAATAAAGTTTAAATTTTATTTTCCTTAAGTAATTTAGGAGCATCGTTTTTCTTTATTCATCATTAGTTGAATATTTCATTTCAATTGTACATGTCTAACTTCAAATATGGCAAGTGAAATGTTCAAAATTTGTATAACAAGATGCATGCCTACCAAGATATTGCTTTATTATGAAGAGGTTAATAAGAATAATAACTTTTTTTTACACGTACTTTATAATATTTAATTTCTTCTTTAAGGAATCAGTATTATTTTAAATTGTATCAGGAAATATTTTATTTTTAAACTAATTGATGTTTAGTGTATAATAATAATAATAATAATAGATAAAGTGGTGGATCTAAAATTAAATGCCAAATAATTTTTTTTTTTTTATTGACTGGTTAAACTATGTAAACATTATAAAATTTTAAAAAAATCGCAGTTTACTAAAAAAAAAAAAAAAAAAAAAATTATGTTTGCTGTATTTTTTCTTTTTTTTGTAACAAACTATACCCAACCTTATTTCATTGTTAGATTATAATTTAGATCTGTATTTAATGGTTGTTATTGTGTACAGAAGGATTTTTAATATTGAATTATTTTATGTTTATTCTCAAAGTTACTTTTTAGCTCCATAAGTATACACAATGAACCAAATATCTAATAGTGTATGATTTGCATTGATTCTACTACTTAGCCCCTAATTTGATTAAGTAGCTGAAATTTATGTTGTGTTTATTTTCTTATGCGGCTATGAATTATGAACTTTCTAAATGAAAAAAAAAATTAAGTACACGTAGGAAAAAAATGCCAGAATAAGAAAATGTAGGATTCTAGGGAAGTTGAGAGCAATGTTGAAACAAACAAATAATTAACTGACAGAATTGATCTGATACCAATGATTGGTCAAAGAACTCTATAAATTGATCTTAGTTTAATTTAATTTAAACAACTGCTTGATGCTTTTTCCATGTATAATAGACTAACCCTCTCCCTTATGGTCTTCCTAGTTTAGCACAAACAAATGGAAGGAAATTAATATTAAATTTATAATTTGTATGTGATTTTATTTTTAAAAATGCATAGATGAAAATAAAATAGAGTCCGACATTATTCAAATATCATTTTTATCAAAGAAATGTGGCTTAATTTTTTAATTTTCTAAACTTGCTTTTTATGCATTTTTAATATATTTTCTTGTTAATTCATAATATATTTAAAATTGAACACTTACAGTTATCTAATATCATGCCATTCTGGCAAACTTATAGTAGTCAACTGTAAAAGGTCTTTTTAGTATGTCTTGGCTGTTTTTGAAAACTATATTTACTCAGGAGATCATTTTGAAGTAAATAAAATATTGTTTGAATTTTCAATAATTTCATTCATAATAATAGAATTAAAGGAAAATCTAATATTTATAATGTATTAAATACATTGTAAAATTGTTAACAGAGATACTTAATTAATATTTATTCTGAAACTAGAAACAAATATTTTTGTTCATGATTTTTTTTTTTAAATCATTAAAATAAAGAACATTATGGTGTATGTTTAAATTATTCACGTGCACACACATATATATAATATATATGCATGCGTTACCTTGAAAGGCCAATACCATTCATTAGCTTGTAAGACCTAGCTTCATCATAGCCCTTTATCAATAATAGTAATAACTTGAGTACACTAGAATTAACAATACCTGTTAGATAATTCTAGTTTTCACTCAATGTTTTAAAGTTAAAACTAGTTACCAACTGAAATCTCATATTAATTTATTTTCAGTTGTTATTTATTTATTATTTCAGCTATCAGGTATACACTTTATAGCGTTTTTTTCTTAAGGAGTTTTAGTGTAATATTTTTCATGTATACTATTTTAAAAACAGTGTATAAAGTCTTGCGCTGTACACACCATATTCCAGACTGCTGTCCATAAAGAAGCATTGATTTAAAAAACATTTGCTAGATATGAGTTTTAACTGATTATTTTTTGTGAAAACTAGACAAATAGAAATGTTATATTTATTCAGTAAATTCTAGTTTCACTGTACCTATCAGTTAATTGTATAATCTAGTTTATAGTAGTATTAAAAATGAGGTTGTGATATAACTAGTTTCAACTAGATTATTCAGGTTTTTCCAGTAACATATATCTTTACATATTATAATATATGGTATGTATATGTTCATGTGTCTATTTATATATATGTGTGTGTTTGTGTGTATGCATTAATATATGCAAACATATTCAATTTTTTCCTAAATTTTCATTAAGGTTTCAATTAGAGTAATATTAAACTTTGAATTATCTTATTTATATATATTTTTTAATTATAGAAAATAATTATTTTTAATTTTAACTAACCCTTTAAAGAACATTCTTGTTTATTATGATAAATAAACTGCAATTTCTCATCTATTGCCATAATACGAATCATTAAATTAATCTTTAAAATATGTATGTATATTTTAATAATAAAATTATATGGTACTTGTAAAAGCATTAATATGTTTAATGTTATAATCACTGAAACTACTTATTTATTTCAGTTAGTTCATAGAATTATATTTTAAAAGCAAACCAAACTTAATAATAATGGGCATGCTGAAAGCTTTCTATGGAGGGTGTTGTAGCTATATTGTTGGAAAAGAAAAACAATTTTTTTTTCATTATATTTTTTGTAATCAAATATGCTCTGTGTGTAGTATATATGTACACTCATGCAAACAAACATTTAGTTTTCTGTGATTAGTAGGAACTAAGTTATGCAATTGGTGTTTTATTGGAGATATCTGATCCATCGAAGGTTCAGCTAATAATTTGAAATTTATTTTTTAAAACTTATTTACCTGCTTTTTATTTTTATATAATTAATAGTTTTAATAGCAATTTCTTGTTTTCTTTTTTTATTTATTCTTAATAAAATTGAAATTTTCTGATAATAAGTTAAAAGGTAAACTAATTGTATGATATTTAATATTATATTCGAGTTTTTGTTTTCCTTAAAATTAATAGTTGATCTTTTGAACAGAAATTTAAATTACAGTAAATATTCAGTGGTTTGAAGAGTATGTAGTCAGTGCGATAGATAATACATAAAATTTGTTGTCCAAGTGAAATACCTTTTTTTTTTTAGATTTGGGGAAAGCAGGCAGTTGAATGTGAAACTGGCCTTACATATCTTAATACATTTATGTTTTCAGTTTATAAATTTTACTTAACTATGTATGTTCTTATTATAAAGAATATATATATATATACACATACATACGTATATACATATACATATATATGTATCCATTTAAAAATAATCAATTATAGATTTTTGTTATGACTTAATTTATTGTCGTTCCCCCCAAAAGTGGCATTATACTTAGTACAATAGTGACATCTATTTGTTAGCTATGTTTCATATTCGGAAATATCATATATTGATCAAATGTAATAATTATTTGTTATTCCAATTGAAATTAATATATATATATTTTTTTCTGTGATCATTATTATTGTGTTTCAACTATTAACTAAAGTTCATTTTAGATTTTACTTATTTTTCGCTTAATGGCATTGATTTTATCAACTATTAAGTGAACTTTAAGAGGGCAAAGAATATTCCTTTCCTTTATTTTTGGTTTATATATATTAATGATCCAATTTTGTTTTATTTATTATTGATACAATGTATCTCCAATATCACATCTATAAAAATAATTTTATTTATATTAAAAGACTGAATTATGTAAATGATTATTAGTTTATAATATATATCGTTTTATACTTTGCATTTTTATGAACAATTAAATGTTGCTTAAAATATAATAGGTGTATACTAGCAATGTAAGTAGAATATGTTTCTCTCTAGTTCTAATGATTTACTTATAACAACTGATTTATTATTTTAATTTATGGTTCATAAAAAGTCAATTATGCCAATTACGTTTTAAAGTTAGTTTTAAGAATTTTATATTTGTAGAAGTTCTCTATTTTTACATATAATTTTTTTTTCATAATGATTATTTTTAATAATATTAATCCATTTTTATACATCATCTTTGTAATTTTCTGCATTCTTGGAAAAGTAAAAATATTATTTTACTACTTTTATATTTTTTGTCAAAGGAGAGCTGTGCTACTATTGTAAAAAAAAAAATTAAAAAATATATTTGTGGTAGCAATAATAAACGCAGTGATATTGAAAAATGGTATTAAAATTTGTCTTTGGTTTAAAACAATTACAGTAATCTGATTTTATTTCTTCCTTAATATTTCCTTGTTATTAACAGTTTTTCTATGAACACTTAGTCCAAACAAATGAGCAGAGATAAAGATTAATAGAGAAATGTTTTATTGTAGTCATAAATAGGCATATTGCATTTTTTTCAGTCACTGAACATGAATCAGATTTTTGAACAGAAATTTTGCTTGGAACCAGGTTTAATTATCAATAAATGTAAAATGTTGCCACTT